TTTTTTTTTTTTTTTTTTTTTTTTTTTTTTTTTTTTTTTTTTTTTTTTTTTTTTTTTTTTTTTTTTTTTGCTATACTGAGCAATTGTGAGTTATGAAGAACACGATTCTTTTTTGATAATGTGGTGTTATTTTCTCACTTTTTAATAGACAAATTTATCTTATGAATCATAATAAACAATGCATCAATAAATATGAGAGTTATTTTTCAAATTGTTTACAATTTGTGAGAATTTGTCTAACTTTGGTAACTGTTATTTATTTTATATTTTAGGGAATTCGATAATATTTAGTTTGAAAATGTATGCGTTGACTAATTCAGCTGACAAATAAACTGGAGGCAAGAAGAGATAATGAAAAATCTAATTTTCCTGAACGTTTAAAGAAGAAAATATAATTACAAGCTTTACAGCACGATGAGGAAGAACTCGATGCCATGGATCCGATTCGAAATCTTATGTTTACATTTTTCGAGAAATAAAATTCCCTTTCGAAGATTCCGTCTAGTTGGCTGCCTTGCCGCCTCAATCGAAAGAAATATAGATAAATCAGGTGTACCCATGAAATTTAATGGCTCCGATGCAAAATTGGAGGAGTTTGCTTGTCTTTCCACTTTATAAATACAATTGATTTGGTCTTCATTTTCATCCCGCTTCCCAACATCCAGAAGGCGCGAGCTTCGAGACTGCGTTTCATGGCGGCCCCGCCCAGGGTGCTCACGGTGGCGCAAGACGGCTGTGGGGATTTCCGTACGGTTCAGGAAGCCATAGACGCGGTTCCATTCAGCAATACTTGCCGGACTGTGATCCGTGTGTCTCCTGGGATTTACAGGCAGCCTCTCTATGTGCCTAAGACCAAGAATTTCATCACCTTCGCGGGTTTGAACCCTGAGACTACCGTTCTCACTTGGGACAATACCGCCACCAAAATTAGCCACCACCAAGTCGGTTTCTGATACGATTTTATCATTTGATATCTGGGTTTGCGTTTATTTTGAAGAATGATGTTCATGTGTTTCTCAATCTCTGTCTCTGGCCAGGCTTCTCGTGTCATTGGAACTGGGACTTTTGGTTGTGGGAGTACCATTGTGGAAGGGGAGGATTTCATTGCTGAGAATATCACATTTGAGAATTCTTCCCCTCAGGTACCCTTTTACTTTTACGACCTCTTTGATCATCTTATCTTGGATTGACCTAAGAGTTAAAATCCCTTTTTAGTTCATAGTTTGAGGTTGATTTTGAAATTGTAGAATGAGGATCTGTGTTGGATCTGTGTTTTTCTGATGAACTTCCTTAGCGTTTTGAAGTTGGTATTGTTTGTTTAGATATGTTGTGGGTTGTTTGTTTTGGACAGGGTTCTGGGCAAGCCGTGGCTATCAGAGTTACAGCAGATCGTTGTGCCTTTTACAATTGCAGGTTTCTCGGCTGGCAGGTATTCACAATCCTCTAATTCAGTTCGTTAGTGGGCAGTAAGTTCTAGAGGTCAAACAATATTTCTGGAAAAGCCCTACCGTTTTGTTTCCTTCACCCCTCCTTAAATCTGAATGGAAAAGGCCTTTTCCTTTAAGAACTTGTGGGTTGTTTGCGTGGATATTCAAGATACCATAATTATGGAAGTGCTTCGGTAAGAGTTATCTCCCATGTAGTTGGAGAGGAGAAAGAAACCTTCTTTGTTCTTTATAGTAACATATGCTTTTTAAAATCCTTGAGAAAACATGGAAGAGAGCAAAATCTGCTTGCGGTGGGTTTGGGCTTGGTATCAAGGAGGCTGAGCCCGAGGAGTTGGACACGAAGCAGTCCAGCAAGCTTTCTTTGCTTTTGCTATATGTAATACTGTTAGGATCTACCGTTTGATGTTGTCGACGTCCAATGGCTCTATCCTTTGGCTAGTTCAATCAGCCAACGATCACAGCAAGCTTTCTTCTATAATATTTTTGGATAATTTGATGCAGGATACTCTGTACCTACATTATGGAAAACAGTACTTGAAGGATTGCTATATCGAAGGAAGTGTGGACTTCATATTTGGCAACAGCACTGCTCTGTTGGAGCGTTGCCATATCCACTGCAAGTCGCATGGCTTTATTACTGCACAGAGCAGGAAATCCTCTCAAGAGACCACAGGTTATGTATTCTTGAGGTGTGTGATCACGGGCAGTGCCGGGTCTTCGTACGTTCATCTCGGACGACCATGGGGACCGTTTGCAAGGGTGGTCTTTGCTTACACATATATGGATGCATGTATCAAACCAGCAGGCTGGGACAACTGGGGAAAAACTGAAAACGAGAGAACTGCTTGTTTTTATGAGTACAAGTATGTCGTCGTGTTTCATGGACATTGATTTTATGATGAATGTGTAGATTACCTGATAGGGGAATTGTGTTTTTCGGTACAGGTGTTTCGGGCCAGGGAGTTGCCCGATGAGCAGGGTGTGTTGGGCAAGAGAATTAGTAGATGAAGAAGCCGATGAGTTCATTCTGCATCAATTTATCGATCCCGACGTCGAGAGGCCTTGGCTATGCCGGAGGATGGCATTGAGGATACCCTTTTCTGCTTAAGAATGGCCGAGTGTTACAAAGGTTTGGTAGTGTGTCTAAATGTTGAACATTTTTTGCTTGCTGGTCCGTTAGAAGAAGGAACATTCATATCCTATATGGGTGGCATAGGGCTTCTTGTAGCCTTTGATTGTGAATTTTGGGCATGTATTGACCACTTTCATATTACTCTCCTATCTTTATATAATTTTTTTTCAGACATTATATTTTAATCTCATTGTTAAATATTTTTATTGGATGCCCATTTTTCTCTTTAGTTTTTGTTGCCAAGGGTTTCACATCTGGTGTGTTTAGTTTTTCAATATATAGCTTGAATTTTGAAAGTAGATTAAAAAAAAAAAAAAAAACAAGGAAAAACCCACATAGATGAGAGGTAGAATGAAAGGAATAGAGAATGAACGAGACCACATCTAATGTGGAAGGAAAAGAGTATAGGATGAATCGAACCGAGACCACGTCTAAATGAGAACGATTCTAAGAATAAGATAGTTAATCTATACCAATAACTTTCTGTTAGGTGTTTCGATTATAGGAACTTCATAGTTAACTATATTGGGTGGCGTGCTTTATTTGGAAGGAATTTATAGATAGAAATTTAAGGAAAAAGAAAAGGAAAATCCATTTTTCTCTTCATGAAGGTTTTGTAGATGACACTCGACAATAAGATCCAACTAATAAGCCAAAAAGGTAGAAAACCATTTGAGCAATTAAAGAAATTATCAAGGATTCTCAATTTAAGCTCTGAGAGTAAACAAATTCGATACCCCATAGGACATTACACAGTGTATACAAAGCGTTGGGCAAACCTTACATCATTAATATTGTTTTTGAACACTTGCCAATCTTACAGAAGACTAAGATGCAGGCAACAAAGAATTAACCATAACATAATTCACGTGCAAACTCACAATAGACGAAGAAAAATACATAGAACATGAACTCATGTTCCAACACTCAAAGCTGACAAACCCAAATGAAGAGGGAGGATAACCTTGCTATTTAGAAAGTTTGAAGTACAGTATCATGATGATGGCCAAGACAAGAACAACAATTATGGATGTAACAATCCATTTGTTCTTGTTCATCCTTCTTGACATGTTCGTTAATATTCTCTTACTCTTGCCAATATTGTCATCCACTCCGTGAAGCTGCAAAAGGTGGAATTTTCAAATAAAAACTACAGGCGTAGACACCTCCAAAAGCAATACAATTATAGAAGAAACATTTGAGTAGAGAGATTGAAGGGTTTGATAGAGGCAGCCGTGAATAGCTGATTAATAATTATCAAAACAACAGTATGACGGAACTATCACAATGCTTCTACGGCATCATTTACTCCTATATGATGACCCAGATAACATGAAAAGTAAAATCCCGTACCGTATTGTGAGCATGCAAGAGAGACTGACGCTGTGAGTGCAAATCTTGGAGAATTGAAACTCCAAGTTCTTCAGTTTCTAGCATGGTTCTTCGACTTTCCTTGATTCTATCACTTGACTTACCTAGCCTCTCTGTTGTGGTCATTAATCTCGTTCTTTGGTCAGCCGATGCCTATAGGAAATGACAACCAGGCATGAGTCATAGCTAATACACTATTACAAAGGATAAGAGACCGTATTCCAGCACTTAAAGCAAGAATTAAGAAAGAGAAAGCATCTCTTATAGCTTAAAAACTATAACCTTGATGGCCAAGTGCCTTTTAAGGCATAGTAAAAAAAAAAAAAAAAAGAATCTATCACCACTGTCCTAGATATTATCTTAGACAGCAGGATTTAATGCATCCCCATTTCTATCTTTTTATATTAGACCTTCAATTCAAAAGATTTAGATGATTCTCTGGCAATGGCAGTGATGGAGAAAATAGGTTATTTCAAATCAAACTATATGGGACAACGACAATCCAAAACAATTAGAGAACCAGTGGATACAGACATACCGTAAGTGTATCAGCCATTCCTGATTCCAGCAACTCATCTCTAGTGGCTGCATTTAAGTTTCCAGATTCGATGCGTTTAACTTCACTTTTCAAATTGTTGAGGTCAGATTTGTACTCTCTTAATTTAGCTAGAAGGACAGCCTTAACATTAGGCGGCAAACTTCTGGCCTCAAGATCCATTTTCCGAATCTAGAAGTCATTAAGTATATAACATTAACATTGCAAGATAAAATTGGAAAGCATTTTTCTCAACAATGACATGTCAACTAGGTACCAGAGCTTCTGCTTCATCAATTCCAGACTTTACTTCAGAAACCCTTTGCTTCTTTTGCTCTGCAGGTATGATATATTCATGTAGCAAAGCAAATACATCAGTTTAATTTTTCTCAAATACTAAACGAAATAACATAAAAAGAAGCATCGATTTATAAGCACTGAATTGTAATTCATGGTTGCTAAGAAAAGATTATGGAGAATCTAAAGCTAGATAGCCCTTGGAATGAACAACTTCATCTCCTCACAGCAGGAGTACCCTTCATTGTAGTATCAAATAATCTACAAGGGGGCCTCCACACAACTAGCTCATCAATGACAGAGACAGATATTTATAAGCAGCTGTAACAGAAAACAACCTTTGTCCAAGAAGATATCTATGCTTTATGCGCACTTTTTTTTCCCCCCCAAAAAGAAAGCACATGAAAGTTCTCGCTTTTCCATAAGTTTTGGAAGGCCAAACAGGGGGCCGTCACAACAGGGAATGGTCTATAATAGAACTAACCATATGTTTGATTTGTCCACAATAAACATATTGAAACTAATCTATTGAAAAATATTTTATGTGTAAAATTAGTTCGTATCCTACAATAGTCCTGAAATTCTCCTAAATCAATGATCATAAATTGAATGTGAAATAATAGTCATCGCACAAAAAGATTTAAGAAAATTAGGTTAGATAGTCACCTATAAATGAATCATTTAACATTTACCAACAAAGAAACAAAAAGAATAAGAAAGTGCTTATGGGATATCATACATACTATTATCAAAGAACCTTGAGAGATTTTGGGTTTCTTCCTACTCTGAATGAGAGATATGCAAATCGAAGACTAGCCATTAAACAAAAGATTCTTTACTTCCATTATAAAAATAACGATCATTAACGTGTAATGAAAATGCACCCTACGAAGTGGGCTCTTTTACATCTTCTTTCAGAATTTTTTCCCAATTCAAGAATGAACAAAGGAATCATAAAGAGTGAGGGATTATCATAGTAGTAGAGCTTACGATTGATCCAGATTTTAACAATTTGCATAAGTGCCTTTTCCTATCTAAGCCAATGAAAAGTAATTCGCTTATTAATTAAGAAGGCCACATTAAAATTTCAGTTTTGACCTCAAAATCGGTTATAATTCAGCATCGCAATTACGCAAAGCAACAAACAAATATCTAACAGAAATCGAGAACCTGCTTACGGGCGTGAATTTCAGTTTAAGTTTCGGGTGGAACCTGAAAAAAGAACCACAAATGGAAACCAAAATTCACAAATCAGAAGGTGGAAATACCTCCATTTAGGGCACTAGCCGAAGTGCACTTTCTTGAAAGGTTCGCCGAGAGCTCGCAGTATTGGCGTTCATACCCTTCAAATACCCCACTCATCGTGCCCAAACCTTCAAAATCAAATCGGCCAAATCGGCGAATCAGCAATCACTCGCATAACAGATCGAAGCCAATCAAACAAGATTTCTCGTAACAATTTGGCAGAAAAAGATGAAACCGAGACTTCAATTTTATTATATTAAGAAAAGCATTCCGATCAACATGTAAGGCCCCAAATTCTGAAAAAGACTGTGAGAATTAGAGATCAATCGATAGCTTACCCAATTTGATCAGAGATGGTGAAGCCCAAAGGAGAGAATCGTAGAACGAGAAAATCGGTGGCCAAGCGAAGAGGAATACCTGCGGACGCCCGCCACAAGGCACCAAGCTTTGGGAATTTACTATTATCAAAGAACCTCGAGTAATTGGGAATTTAGCCACTCAAGTATATAATTGATTCATCTCTAATTTTATTATTTATTATTATAATTAACCACCCTATAAATTGTTTCTATTTAATTCTTAAATTTTAATATATTTAAAAACGTCCAAACTTTACAAATATATAATATATCTCCCAAACTTTTGCATTTATATTCAATAAAATATTTTTAAATTATTAATTCCAGGTAAAATTAGACCTATACATCCAGAGTTTTAAAATATGTTTGAAACAAGAACCGATCAATTATAAAATAAAAAAATTAGAAGTACGTTTTAAACTGAGATTAAATAAGTATAAAGTTAATTTTGAAAAACTAAACTTATAATTTAACTTTATTATTATTGAGTTTGATAAAAAGATTATCTTTTTACCCTACATTTTTAATTTAAAACTAATTTAATCACAGCTTCACGATTTTAAGTAGGTCTACCAAGAAAAAGTTTCCACACTCTCCTATATACCATTCTTGTTTTTGCCAGAGCTCAAATTTGGACACGACAATAATTACTATTAGCCCGTCAAGGTTTTTGAGCATCCAATTAGTGAGTTAAACTGTAATTAAAGTCTAGATATCATAACCTAATTAACTAAGCAAAGATGACATCGCATTGGGAAGAAGGTAAGCTGTGCAATAACAAGAAGCATTCGCAAAAGCTGCATCAGCTGCAACTAAAGATTCATGTAGTAGTCCCTTGTCATGAAACAATGTTTTCTTCTCCACAATGTAATCCATAAAACTTCAAATCCTACATAAAAACCTTGATCCACACAGTTAATCATGGATAAATCTCACTCGAACTACAGGACTCGTCAAGTAAATGAGCTAAAGCTACAACATTAATCATTTTCCTAACCCTAAACAGCCTATGAAAGAGGAACAAGAGATGAATACATTACAAACTCAAGAGACGTGATTCTGTACAAACCAGTTTCTGACTTTATATGATAGTTTTACGTTGAAAGAGAGATGAGACAAGCATACACCACCACGATATGAACACCTAGTAATCGGGAATCGATGCAAAGCGATATCCATTAGCACCCCTCCATGCATAATATGCAATCCTAGTCTCATAAAAGCCTGCATCAACAAAGCAAAAGAGGCTTAGATTATCCAACTTCTGGGACAGGATGAGTCAACAGTAATTCTGCTGATGTCCTATTCAATAATAACAAAACTTTGATTTACACTCCGTTGTAGATTTCTTAATACATTCATTGTATAAAGGAAAAGAAGAAGATAAGTAAGAATCAAAATTCTAGGAACATTAAGTTTGATAGCACAAAACTATGAACTAATACTCAACGTGAAAAGTGGTTCACATATGAGAAGTCTCATGGTACAAACTTTCTTTGTGGAAATTTAAATAAACTTTCAAGCACTGACAATTTCTTGGTAATATCTTCTCCCACCATTGACAGTGCCCAATGGGAGTGTATTAATTCCTTTGGCAGGAATTGCCCTGTTCCTATTTTCACTCATTATTATACATGACCATGACGCCATTGGATTGCATCTTCTTCTTTGACAGTTAAACCAACCAAACTATCGCTATCTACAGGTCATATACACTGAAGTCGTATCTAATAATTTTAGACACGAACGAAAGCCAAATGAGTACACACTTCGCATACAATGTAAATCAACGATGAAGAAATGTATTCAAGAAAAAATGAAACAGAAAATTTGATGAATACCTGGGAGGAAGGTAAGAAACCCCAACGCTAAAAGACCATAAGCTTGTGATTTCTCTCCTGCCATATGACCAGTCAATACGAAGTACGAAAGAAAGAGAAGAAATGATCCAAGAAATAACAGGAATATAGCAAGAGCGATGGATTTCCATGGGATCTTGTCAAAAGCTTTTGGTGTATAGTAAAAGCGAGGGTCAAATTGATTTCCATCTAAATCGAGATCATTATCATCAGTAGAAAGGGAGCTGTAACGAACATTCCGTCTCGAAGCCATGACAGGAAATATCAAGAATGCAGTCTTCAAAATTCAACACAATGGAGCCACCTTTGAAATCAAGAATCAAATACATTAAGAAAATATCAAGAGGAGGATGAAAATTACACCTACATTATTGAGTGTTACTAAATTTTCTTACTTAGAACTCACGTAAAACAACAGGATCATTAAAACCAACTATACTTCTACCATTTACTCAAGAAAATAAATCAAACTAAAGTTTTTACTAAAACCTCAAGATGGCAACTCACCAAATAGAAAAAACACTCCAAATCCAAGAAGTGAAAGAACTCTAAACTTATACATATAAAATCAAACAACATTTCTTTTTACAAAGATTCAACCAAATGAAAGAATAAAACTAGCCACCGAACTCTAAACAAAATAACCAAAAAAAAAAAAACCCCCAACTGAATTACCTCCCCTAATCAAACTTCACTAATCTACTTGAAATAACCAGCAATTCAAATGAAAATCTTTCAATTCCATTAATGAGAAAGAGAAGAGATCGGAGTTGACAGATGGGCTACGATCTCCTTCTTTACCCCCCTTGTTTTCTTTTATTTCTCTTCCAAGAGAAGAATAATGTTGACAACTTCAATCCTACGCAACTAATTTCAACGCAACAAACAAAAAGAACATACATAAAAATTTACTCAGCGATTGAAGACCTTAAAAGTGTCCATTGAATTCCTACAATCCAGACAAAAAATAGGAGAATCTACCTGGAACAAAAAATAGAATCAGGCACAACAGAAGAAGATGATGCAGAATGGATCGTAAAATCTCAGAAATTCCGTCAAGTAGAAGTTCTTAAAATCTCACCGGAGGCTGGAGGTCCAGAAAGTCGTCGTCGTCGTGTCCTTGATTCAATAGCGAAGAAGATGTGTTTGACAAAATAAAAATGAAATAAAATAAAAAAAAATAAAAAAAAATGGTGGAGATTGACTGGCTTCTGGATATTGGATTTCGAGTTGGGCCAGGCTTTCTAGAATCATTGGGCCAGGCCTTCTAGAATCATCGGGCCTTCAAGATTTGTTTTAACTTTCTGCAAATATTTTCTTAAGTTATATATTAGGTTTTTATTCTTACAAACATTTTAAATATCACATTAATTTAGCTGTGAAATTGTAATTTCATTGAAAAATAAATTCAAACATGTTATTAAAATTTAAAATTAAATCAAACCAATTAATTTGGTTAAAATAAAATTTAATTGCAATTAAATGGATAATCAAGCCATTATTGGAAAGACTAATTATTAGATTTAGTGCATCGATGAATAAAATATTAATTAAATTCTCTAAACCCTAGAAATTGAATTATTTTAAATACACCCATTGTTGTTTGCAAATACTAATTAAAATATCTATCATGGGTTTATAAGGAAGAAATACAAAGAAACGATAATTTAAAATTTAAAAGGAAATAAAAAAGAGGAGAGAGAAACACAGCTATTATTGAAGTTGGATTTTTGGCTTATTTTGATAATGAAGCATTACCGTATCTTTTATTTCTCTTTATTTTTGTTTGTTTATTATTATTATTATTTTATTTTTGGGTTTGTTGGGCCATTCCCCATAAATGCGTTTCATTTGAACCAATTTTAAATAATAATATGCATTAAAATAAATAAACAAAAACTCGAACTAATAATGGATAAAAAAATTATTAAAATAATAAATATAAAGATTACATGTAACATAGATATCACATAATTACTAATATATATGGAAGATTTTATTTTATTATTATTATTATTTTTTGCATTTATATTAGAAATAATTTTGATTTAGAATATAAATTATACAATCCTATTTTTATCCTTTTTTTTTCAAATGCTCTAATTAAGACCTTAATCTCACTTAGATATGATATTACTTGTTTCAAATACGTGACTTTAGAAAATTAATAATTGCATTAATAACTATTTATTATTAATTATTCAATAATTCGGTATAACAGCATGGTTATAATTAATTAAGAATTTAATTAAAAAGGAAACGACCTACTTTTGTTTTTTTAAATATTATCAACACCTAAATTAAATTAAAATGAAAATTAAAAACAATTTTCCTTTTATGTATATATGTGTGTGTGAAAATTAAAATACAAAACAAATCTATATAATATTTATTTTTTAAAAATTTGAAAATTTTAAATTTAAATATTTAGAAATATGATAAATAATAAAAAATACAGGGCGCGAAGGACTGAAAAATTAATTCCATGGGAGACGAGTTCTGAAGCTGGAAGAGACGACAGCGAACCCTTCTTTCTCTCTCTGATTTTGTGCCGAAGAATTGAGAGACAAAAAAACGAACCTAAATTGGAGGAGAAAGAAAATGCGAAGACCAACAATTAGAAACTTCTCGATCCCTTTTATTATGCGTCTCACGTTCTATTGTATTTAACTCTCATCTCTCTCCGTTTCTTTCTTTTCCTTATTCGTTTCTTTATCTTTTGACGATTCTGTTTCATAATTTCTAGGAAGAATCGTCATCTGGGTATTTCATTGCACCTCGATCCGGGTTCTTTTCGGATTCACCCACCAACCCTCTGCCTCCCTCTCTCTGTCTTTCTTTTTGTTTCTGGATAGCAGAGAAAGGGAGCTAAATCCACCGAGATCTCGCCGGCATCGAGGAGTCGTTTTTGGAATTTTATCTCTCTGACCCTTAATCAGTTCTGGTTTGTTCCTGCATTTTCTTTATGTTTTGTTCAAATGCCCTTTGTTCGTCAAATGTTCTTGTTCATGTTTTTCATTCTTCTGTTTCGTTAAGTGCTGAATCAATAGTTTTTTGTTTTTGTTCTTAATCGCTGTCATCATCGTCAGAAGCAGTAAAACGCAACTGGGTTTTGTTTTCTTCTGTGAAATGACTCTGTTTTTTCTGACTTTTCTGTAGTTTTTACTCATGAAACATCATGCCCTTCAATTCTTTTAAGTGGACCCTCTGACCTTCTCTCTTAGAATTCTTTTTCTATTTATTTGTTCTTTTGTTTTTGGGCTCTCTCTTTCGAGAAGGGAAGCAAAGTGGAAACTTCAAGTTCTCTGATTATTCAACCTTTCCACCAAGCTGCTAGAATTTGTGTGTGTGTTATTTTCTTTTTTCATGTACATTAGGAAATTTCTTCTTCTCAACCAGTTTATGCACATTTAATGATTTGAATCTGTCTTGCATCCTTGTGTTCTTTTGGAGAAATAACTTCTGGGTTGTGAGCAACTCTTCATGTTCGTGAATAGAGTCCAGCATATGCAATAAAATTGTAGGGTCCATTGCAGTCAGAGACCTGAGTAATCTGATTGTTTATTTTCAGGTATTTTATGAGGTGAATTGAACTTGTTGCGATCCTTTTTCTGTATTGGAACCATTGCTCCTTTCGTTTTGTAGAAGGCTATCATGGGAGGCTGTGTATCAATACAAACAGAAAAGATCAGAAGTCGGAAGAATGTGCATCATCAGTTTAGAAAATATGGTAGAAAGATTTCCAATACTATCCCCAAAGCTATCATAAAAAGAAAGAGCAATGCTGGAAATAGGGTCACTGATTATGCTGTCAGTGAGTTTGTTCATATGGATCTTGAGAGTGGTGCAACCACTACTTGTAGAAGATCAGAAGTTTCTAATTCAACATTCCACCTCACTCAGCTGCAATGGCTTCACAGCCAGTATGATGCAAGCGGTATGCCCCCTCCATTGTATTCTGTCGTTGAGGTCCCTGATAGGATCTCATTAAATGCATCTAACAAGTGATTCATATTTGATCTATATAGTTTCTGTTGACCTGTTGTTTGCTCTGTTCTTGAACTATCCAGCATTTTGATCTCTTGGATATAAAGAGGCAAGAAATTTAACTGTGCAGTATATCAATCAACAAATATTCTCTGTTTATGCTTCATTTTCTTGATCATATGGGCTAGAATGAAGCCCATGTTTGACTCGCTATTGTTTTGTCTGAAGTCAAATACAGAATTTATCTCATCTGTTTATGCTTCATTTTCTTGATCATATGGTCTAAAATGAAGCCCATGTTTGACTCGCTATTGTTTTGTCTGAAGTCAAATACAGAATTTATCTCAAACACTTTAGGAACAATGTTAATAGAAATTTCAAATGTTGTGTTTCAGCAAGTGGCCAAGATGAAGCTTGGTTTGACTCTGTCAGTGTTCTGGAGTCCGACTCAGACGATGAATTCAGTAGTTTGCATGGAGGTAATACGAACTAGTGTATCAGAATCCTTTGGCTACTGAAAATATTTTACAACCACTCGAAGTCTTGTGTGTTTAAATGGGCTGGTTAGATCTTATTTTTAAGCAGACTCAGTTTTGAGTATTGATTGTTTGGTCTTTTGTTCTTTGCAGATGGTTTTCCATCCGTGGGAAACGCAATCGGGAACATCTCGAGTGGCCAAGTGGTTCAATACGAAAGATCGTCACGCTTTCTGGAAAATAAGTGCAAATATGAAGAATACCATGAAAGCTATCTGAAAATAGAGGGGGGAAAACCAGAAAGTATCAAGAACAAGGATGAATATGGATTTGGTCTGATGAGTAGCCAAGGTAATGAAATTTCCAGCAAGAAGAGTTCTATGTTAGATCATTCTTATGGCAGCTTGACGGGTCTAAAAGACGACTGGCATTGTTCCGTAGAGAAGAATCAAGAGACTATTATTAAGTCTGCCTTTCCACATATGATTCCTTCTATAAGTTTCAATGAGAAGATTCTGAATCCTCAGGCTTCTCAGGGACACAAAAAGCAGTCGGCCGTTTTCAGGCTTTCGTTTAAGAGACGGTCATGTGATGGAGAAGAAACCATAGAAAGATGTAAGTTTAAGAAATTATATATCAAATATTATATGATCAACATGCCCTTGAGTTGGAGCCTCGTGCGTACGTTTCTTCACATGAGGTTTGTAATTACAACGTGTCTAATTTTCGTTATACAACAGGCCAATCAAAGAAGTATCTATACCATCCAAGAGCTGGACATATACCATGTTTTTCAGGAGAGAAACCACCCCCAGGAAGCTGGTCCGAAATTCCGCCCTCAACGTTCAAACTCCGTGGTGAAAGCTACTTCAAGTATGTAATTCTTTTTACTCGATATCAACCTCGACCATGCTTGGATTTTGTCAGTGCTTATTTATTTGTTACTTACATGTAGAGATAAGAAGAAACATCCTGCTCCAAATATCAGTCCTTATGTTCCGATTGGCGTCGATTTATATATGTGTTCCAAGAAAATCAATCACATTGCTCAACACCTGGATCTCCCTTTGGTAAAATCTTATGCAAAGGTGCCTCCACTACTCATATTAAACATTCAGGTAACTTTTCTGTGGGTTTGTTCTCGGTTCCATTCTTCTATTGCTTCTTCAGGCATTTAAAAGTCTTGTTTTGTTGCAGTTGCCTATTTATCCAGCTGCAATGTTCTTGGGTGATAGTGATGGGGAAGGAATGAGTCTTGTTTTGTATTTCAAAGTTTCTGAGAAGTTTGATGAGGAGATCTCTCTTCATTATCAGGAAAGTATCAAGGTACTCCCAAGTTCAATTTAGTATGCTTAAATCTTCATAATCACCGAAAGCATTGAGCTTTTCAATCTTCATAATCTTAGTGTGCTCCCCATTCAACATGGGTTTCCAGCATATCTCACAGCACAGATGTTCTTTGCTTATTCTACAGAAATTGGTTGATGATGAGATGGAAAAAACCAAAGGATTTACAAAAGATTCTACTGTTCCATTCAGGGAAAGGCTAAAGATTATGGCAGGGGTGGTTAATCCCGAGGATCTCCATTTGAGCTCCACTGAAAGGAAGCTCGTTAGTGCTTATAACGAAAAACCTGTCCTTTCACGCCCTCAACATAATTTTTACAAGGTATATATTTAGAAACATTAGATTAAATGACCTTTGAATTTTCGGATTCCATTTTAGAGTTGGAACAATGGATGAAGACACCTTTAGTGTTCAAGTTTTGATAGTTCCATTCGTTTATTTGATAGAGGTCACATGTTCGATTCACTTGAGTTGTGAGATCCCACATTGGTTGAAGAGGAGAACGAAACATTTCTTATAAGAATGTGGAAACCTCTCCCTAGTGGACGTGTTTCAAAACCTTTAGAGAAAGCCCGTAGAGGACAATATTTGTTTGCAGTGGGGTTGGGCTGTTACAAATGGTATCAAAGCCAGGCATCTAGTGGTGTGCCAACAAAGATGCTGGATTGTGAGATCTCACATTGGTTGGAGAAGAGAATGAGCCATTCCTTATAAGGTGTGGAAACCTCTTTCTAACATACGCATTTTAAAACCTTTAGGGAAGCCTAGAAGGGAAAGCCAAAGAAGACAATATCAACTAGCGGTGAGCTGTACTATTCATATTTGCACTTAAATGTTGGATTAGGATAAAAGAAAGGAAAGGGGAGAATGCAATGCTTAGCTTCCATATTTCTTATAGGTTAAATAGAAGCATTTCTGACTCCAACCACACTTCCACACTTGCAGGGCCAAGATTACTTCGAGATTGATCTAGACATTCATCGTTTCAGCTACATATCGAGAAAGGGACTTGAATCATTTCGAGAACGTTTGAAAAATGGATTACTCGATCTCGGTCTAACCATCCAGGTATATATTTGGCACCATTGCACTCTTTCTTCTTTCTGTTTTAGTTATCCTTTACCTGAGATACAAGCATGTGGTTCATGTAAAAATGGGGCCCTGGTAGGAAAGATATTACTACTTGGGCAAGTTTAGAAGCCATAAATGTTCATTTGGTGAGTCAAAGTGTTCTTGTGATATCCCACATCGGCTAGAGTGGGGAACAAAACATTCGTTATGAGGGTGTGAAAACTTCTCTCTAGTAAATGCGTTTTAAAATCGTGAGGTTGATGACGATACGTAATAGGTCAAAGTTGACAATATTTGGTAGCGGTGGACTTAGGTTGTTACAGATCAATGTTATCTTTGGAATCTTCTCTTCAAATCAAAAACAATTGCATACTAGCAGTAGTATGTTCTTAAACGCTCTTCTTTTGTTAACAGGCACAAAAACCAGAAGAATTGCCAGAGAAAGTTCTGTGTTGTGTGAGGCTGAACAAGATTGATTTTACGGATCATGGACAGATACCCACATTAGTGACGACCTGTGGAGAGGACTGATTCCGAGTCACCGACGCTATGGTACATTCCTCAATTTGGTACGACATGTTGTGACTCGAGCAGCTTAACGAAAGCAGCCAGACAACGCAGTGAAATACCGAGCCTTGGTCCTACTAAATAATCCAAAAAATCCTTCATTTTTTGTCCAACGAATCACTCTTCTTTCCAGCTCAGAGCTTCTACCTACCAACAAAGAAGCAAGCATTCACTGGCAATGTCTCAATGCCATGTTCCAAGCTTACAACCATTTGTTTGTATATGTTTATTTCGTCGTCATAGTAGCAAAAGCCCACGAATCTGAGCGCCATGTTCATCTGCGCATGGAGCTCAACTCGTTGAGGCATTAACAACCTTTCTTAAGTTCATGTGAATTTGTGCTTTTATTTTTTTAATATAATTCAGATAAAAAGAATAAGAAAAATAATGGTAAAGTCCATCTACTATACATGTTCGTGAGGATTGAATAGAGATTCTATGCATAAAATTCCAAGTCTTAAAATTCATTTTTTTCATTAATTTTAATTAGATGATTTTTTTGTATTAAAGACAGATGATAAATATATTCCTCATCTCCATCTTGTTTACATAAGGAATAAAAAATTGGATGTGGATATATTATTTTGTAATTATGAATATCAAATATATTAAATATTTACATAATTAATATTTATATTTGGATGTGTTTTGTTATACCAATTTTGTAATTGAAAAATAAAATTTAGTAGTTACGTATAAAATATTAAATAACTTTCATAATTGTTTAATGCCTTTTTCATTAATATAAATTATATTTTAAATAATTTTAATTATTGATTATTAAAATTCAGAATAAATTAGTTAATATAATATAAAACTGTTAATTAAAATTTATGAATAATTATTTAAAAATAGTTATGTATGATTAATTAATATTAATTAAGTTATATTTTTACTATTCATCTCCAATTACAATAATTCTACCTATTATATTTTATAGAATAAATGTGGAATGAGCTTTAAAGTTTTTTAAATATTAAATGAATGTGCTCATAAAAGACGAGGACTTATAAGTAAATTAGAGAAAAGGTTAAGGACAGAAATGGAATTGTGTGGATTAGGGTTTTTGGAGGTTGCCAATAAATCAAGACGACGAAGACGGCTTAGAAGACAGAAGCCCGAGGCCGAGCGCTTCCCTCTTGAGTTAGGGGTGGCGTGGTATTCCACAGGGAGAGGTTTTTGAAATTGTGGCGCACTCTCAGTGCGTTGGGCTTACATTATCACCTTCTGGTGGGGGCTTCCATGGCCGCTTTGCTGCCCTAGCTTTCGCAGTCAAAGCGAGGGGTTTCGCCCTACATTCAATTCATTCGCTTTGGATTTTTCTTCTTTTCTTTTTCAAACTTCATTCTTACGAAATTCGCTTTCCTGATTCATCTGAGACGTAACTTGGATTTTTTAGTTATATGCATTTCCAAATTTTATTGCTTCTTTCTCTGCAAAAATGTATATTTGTTTTTAATAAGCGGCGGAGAAGAATAAATTTGAATTGTTATTATACATGTATATGTTTTCGGGTTTCATTCAAATGATACGAAGGATGCAGGAAAGTTAAAATCACGTTTCCGAAAATTGATCAATTGCATCCGCCGGTATTTTGATTGAACTTGTTTGAATATCTCAAATAAATGTATGTATACTTGTAGAAGCTTCTTCTTTCCTGCTCCCTCGCGCTTGTTTTTGGTGTCGGGTTGCAAAACACCAATCTGGGCTCCGTGTGGACGCAGGTTTTGGAACTGCTGCTGCTAAGAATGGTTTTTATGTACGTCTATCATCTGACTATTGCACCGGATAATGCACGCTTCATTCATCTGGAAACAAGAACAGAAGCTTTTTCAATTGTTGATTGGTAAGACAGATGAAAAGAATAGTTCTTTGTAGAGGGTTGGAATCAGTATTCCCCCTAATTACCTCTTTCGAACCTGGATTTTCGAGCCACTCGTCGGATGTGGCTTTCTTTTATTTGCAGGACTTCATCTATTCTATGGGGTTGTGTTAACAGAGGTCCTGGGATTTCAACGTGTGATTTCGTATCATCGCTGTCCTGCTCATTTACCAGATTGGTTGTGGTGTTTGGTTGTTGTTCCGGATAGAGTTCATTGGACATATCCAAGATTAATGGGTATGCTTCGGATGCTTCAAAAGGCTCGGTGAAATCATATTTTCTCCTTTGCTGCTTTCGAATACCATAATCCTGCGCGCTTGAATTGGCTGGAATGTCCGCATGGCCAATCTGTTTTTTTGTTGATTCTAAGGTAAAATTTGCAAACGATGGATCCAGAGCACTTATTTGGCTCTTAAGACCATCCGATATTGTAGACGTAGCTTCCTCTTTTCGCTTCTTTACCCAAGCAAAGCCACTAGATGATGAGACGGGTATTGGGGCTGTGAATGCGCTATCTCCTCTTTGAGGTGCAGTCGCGGCCTGGGAAGTCATTGATGTTGCATCATATAGTGGCTTCTGAGGCTCTCTCTGGAAAACGTCGCCTTGTTCATTGGAAAGATTGGCAGAATTACTGCCATTGTTCCGTCGAGAAGGTTGACTGTTTTCTTCTGCTTCCTGAGAGGAAAAATCTCCACGTTGGGAAGGGAAGGAGTAATGTAAGAATTTAAAGTAACGTGGGAAGGGAGGAATGGTAAGGAAGGAGAAACCTCTTTTATTGGTACTTTATGGCTGTTGAATTCTGGGACATTTCTTCGGACTTTTTTAGGCCTTTGTGTTGCCCCTGTTTCTTTTGCTTTTGCATTAGCTCGCATCCTGCAAGTTTCCATAGGTATAGTGTTCTTCAGAATATATTGAAGATACTGGATTTTGGAGTCAAGTTAGTGAGGCAGAGTGAAAGATTCACCTTAGCGCATCTTCACGATTTTTGGCATCCATTTCTTTGTTTGGAGGATACTTGGGCAATGTCGATGGATCGCAAGCGTATGGCTTCGTTTTGAAATACTGGAAAGGAAGACGAACAAAAATCATGATTGTTTTAAGCTGTGACAGGACACTGATATTTGTAAGGTTGAATACGAATGCAGGGGCAAGAGGTTACCTCAGACATGAGAGCTGATGAGGCAGTACCCCGCTTAGGAGGTTCGATGGCAAGAAGAGTTTCTAAGAGGCTCACTGCGGATGGTGCAAAATCTTTGCACTTTTCGTTAAGGGAACTTTCATATGGATGCTGGGGTCTAAACATAGCTGCATGAGGGAGCTTTGTTTTTTTCCAGAACTCTTCAGGTGGGGAGCCGCAAAGTTTGAATATTTTGTGCAATTGTTCAACCTGTTTTGTGGTAGAGTTCCATTCATGTCAGATCAACAAACACTGAGCAACAACCAAAAATACCAAGGCATCCATTACCTCTGTTCTTCCTTTAAGAAGGGGTTTCCCCAGGTGCAATTCTGCAAATACACATCCTATGCTCCAAAGGTCCACCGTTAATCCATAATTTGTCGAACCCATCAGAAGCTCGGGAGGTCGATACCATAATGTCACCACTCGACTTGTTAGTGATTGCTTGTTTCTAGAGCTAATGATATTTGCCAGTCCAAAATCTGCCAACTTTAGAATTCCTTCATTGTTTACCAAAATATTGGATGCTTTAATGTCCCTATGCATTATACCCCGAAGGTGGCAATGCTCAATTGCAGATAGAAGTTGTCTCATGTAACACTTTACCTGAAAAAAGAAAGCCCCAAGGGAAGATGAAATGGGAACGTTATTTCTTTTCTTATTAGAGCAAATGCTATTGCTAGTGCAAGTAAATCAGTAGACCAAATACCAACCTGTGCCTCACTGAACTCGATATCGGGACAAGACACTAACCCTGCAAGATCATGTTCCATGTATTCGAATACAAGGTAAATGCTGCTAGACATTTTGGAAGTAATCAGGCCTTCTAATTGCATGATGTTTGGGTGATCAAGCCTGCGCAAAATCATAATTTCTCGTGCCATGAACCTAATGCTCTCCGGTTGAAAATTGTCGAAACGAACCTTCTTCAACGCAACCATCCTTCCTGTCTCAACTTCTCGAGCTCGGAACACGCTGCTGTATGTACCTTGTCCAATCTAATTCAAAAACAAACTCTTGATCTTTTCTGGGTAATGTGTACAGAAAAATGGTACTTCGGAGTGAATGCAAAGAACATGTAAAACATACAAGAAGATGCATTAAACAGATCATTGCATTCGGTTAAACCGAGACCTCCGAATCATAGGAAGAACAGAATTCGAATATTCGTATACTCATTGTATAGACAGAATCATAAATGATGATGGATCATTTTGGTGTCCGCATCAATGGCAGGACTTTTGAGGCAAAATTATAAATGACCCTCTTTAGGATGTCATCTGGGAATTGACCTCCCCATTTCTAAATCCATGGGTCGTACGAAATCATGCTAGATTTGTTTCAGTCATAAATGAGACAAAATGCAGTAGTGCTGATTTGTGTATTGTTTCATAAGGACAAACAAGGAGGAGCGACAAAAATGAAGAATGCTAACCTTTTCCAACTTCTCGAAGGAATCAGCTCGGAGAGGCACCCATCCCTGAATGGCCTCGCCGGCGGCACTACTGAGCCAGGAGGGCCAGCCGGCGGCAACCTGCTCTGCTTCGACGTAGCGTTGAGATGGCCCTGATCTGAGAGTACCCTTCTCCCCTTGGGAACTCCCTTTCTTGGATTTTTTGAGGTCTCGACCTCGATCCTCCGGTTTCTCCTCCCCTTTCTTCTCATGTTCGAGCGTCGTCACGGAATGAGTTTTGGACGAACGATCCATGGTCGCAGCAGAGCCATTCTTGGCTGTGGCTGTGGCTGTGGCGGTTGTGGTGGAGCGGTGGTTGTAAACGGGAGACGCCGCCGCCTTAGCTACCTGCTTGGAGCTAATGCAACCCATGAACCTCCAAATCCCGACAGCATCGATCAGAGAGGCGACACAAAGGCGATCGACCCTGATCGGGAAATGGGCTGAGCAAGGGAGGGAGGGGAAATGGACCCGACCCCTACAGCCAAGAGCTGAAAAGGGTCTGCATTATCTGAGGGCGGAAGAAAAGAAGAAGGGAAAATGGCTTGAACCCATAAGAATTGAGAGCCATTTTTGGGTTAAGTTGTTGGCACTCCAATGACCCTGTGTTCCTCCTCTGGACTGCGTTATGTGCGGAAGAATTGACGAATTAGTCCGTGTTGTTTTTGTGGGAAACGGCCCGAAAGCAGAGGAAGAGAGAAAGAGAAACATTCGTGGCTCCTAACTGCCTGCTTCTTCCCTTGTTTCCTTTCACAAAACCGTTTTCTTTCTATTTTCTGTTGCTTTCCCTTTGCCTTAGGCTTAGCCAACAGCTCCTTTTCACTCACTCCGCCATTACTGCTCTGCACTTTCTCTCTTTTCCTCTCTTCCTTTTCTCCTTCTACCTCTTTCCATTGCTTATTCTATTCCTCCTTTCTTTCACTCTTCTTTTAACCATCTTTCTCATTCCTTTCTCAGCCATTCACACCATTTTTGTTCAATGGATGAGGTACTCACCAAGTTTGTAAACCTTTCCTCATTGGATTTCACCTTTTTCTTAATGAAACGTGTAGCTTGAGTGGTTATCATATCAAGTCATGTCGAAGAACGATCTCAATCATTGTTTCAACCAAATTAAACATACTTAGGATTGCTTACACTACACAACCATGCATAAGATCTCTACATGTATCCTTGTCTCCTCACATCATATTCGATCCAAAATTGTTTGGACCAAAAAAAAAAAAACAACTATTAAACATTCCAGTTAAGTTTCTAATTGTGTCTCTCAAGTTGTCTAAGTTGGTTCATAATATGCAAACTCAATGCTAAATATAAGCTCCATCTCTTAATCATAAATTATACAAAGTAAAACAGTAAAATATCTAAAGTAGAACGGTAACCGGATTTTCCCTTTTGAAGTTCTTCTCACTATTTTTAAAACACGTATGCTAGAAGGGATTTACACGCCTCTCTAAAGAGAAGGTTTCGTTGAATACACTTTCTTTCCAAACCCAACTAAGGCTTCAATATTGGAAAAGGAAATGATAATAGAATATGTGATGATGAAACATAAAGGTAGAAGCAAAATGCCAAAAGGGTCCACTTCAAATCCAACCTTTTCATTGTTTTTCACAACCAAATGCAGAGAAGTACATAGCAACTTCCCAATGAAACTGTGTCCACAGCCCATCTTGAACCAAACAATATAAAGATTATCAACTTTATACACACAACTACAATTTGTACAGTTCATATTTTGGTATAAACTGATGAACTACAAAACAAAACAATGAAATTTTACAGTACATAACAATGTCTAGTTTGAATTTTGCAAGTCACACTACACAACAGGCTTCTAAAATGACAGAGAAGGTTACCCCACTTCCTGTACCTTGTCGGATGCTGTTTAGACCCTTCAACTCAACTGCAGCGGTGAAATGGCCTCAGGAAGCAGAGAGACACAAGTAATAACATTATTTGCGATCATAATATCAGTATGACTGACCTCCCTGCATCTCCTTTGGCATCAGGATTAGAGGAACATTAGGCAAATGGAGCTCTTTTGCTTCATACACATACACTTGAAATCAACTACTGACCTTCTGTTCCCATGGAAGGTATATTGTTGTAGCACTTTACACGGTGATTTTCTCTTCTTTAAGCCGCAAAACGGCAGGTCTCTGCTCATTACTTCCAAATTCCAATTCTTTGAGTAATGGATGTTTCTGAGCTACAACTTTATGTGGTTTGATCTGGTGCACGGTATTGTTGACTGTGTGGTGGCTGCTGTTTCTAGCTGCAGGAACATCATGGTTATGTTTCCCTTCGTATGTAGTTACGACAGCTTTCGAGTCCGTTGAAGACCTCTCGACATGCTTTCGGACGTTGCACCCAGCACTAGTGCATTTGTAGTAGCTCCTGTTCACAGGTTATAAGAAGTGATCAAAACCCCAAATCAAATGTCGATCCTAAATTCTAACTATCTTAGCAGCAAAATCACTCAGGGAGAGTTGAAATCAACTGGAAAGTTCTTATCATTCCGTGGTATACTACACTTTCGAGGACACAAGACTACATAAAATCCGAACATTTCCATTATCAACTGTTAGGTTGAACATTTCCGTTATCACATTGACAACAAAGTATCCGTCCGACGTACAAACTCAGTGCATGTTAATGAATGCAACAAATGGTAAACCAACCCGTTATTGAAGTCAACTGCTAGTAAATATTGTTCTCTTGGGATTTCCCCTCAAGATTTTAAAACACGTCTGTTAGGGAGATGTTTCCACACCCTTATAAAAAATGCTTTGAACCTCTCTCCAACCAATGTAGGATCTCACAATCCATTCTCCTCAAAGGTCCAGCGTCCTCGCTGGCACACTGCTCGATATCTGGTTCTGATACCATATGTAACCGTCCCAGCCCACTGCTAGCCGATATTGTCCTCTTTGAGCTTTGCCTCAAGATTTTAAAACGTGTCTACTAGAGAGAGATATCCACATCCTTATAAGGAATGTTTCGTTCCCCTCTCAATTGATGTGAGATCTAACACAACTGCAGGCCATACCAGTAGATTAAAAAAGGAGAAGTCATAGGAAAATGATGTCCCATGGATCATCTTATGAGTATAACCTTCAAGAACATCATGTAAAAATCTTGAAAGTTCAGAAAGAAAAGAAAGCAAGCTTATCATAGGGAATGATAATGATTTCCAGGGTAACGATATGGCAAGGCGTAAGCTTACGCTTGCAGATACCGCCGAGGTACTATGGATAATCTGAAAAAAATACTAGGACAAACAGAATTTGAAGTAACTACCTCGGATTAGGATTTCCTTTAACCACTTTCTGCCCATACTTGCGCCACCTATAACCATCATCTAACAGGTCAACCTCACTTCTTGTTTGAACAATGATTTTTGGTTCTGTGAGTGTCTTATGAGACAAGGCAGCACCAGATGTCCCAGCTTCAATGTTCCTGCACTCATGAACAAAAGCCACAAAAGGCTCAGTTTTTCCTTGTTTATTTATCCCAATAGCCAAAGAAAGATAGATACACAGTAAAATAATACACATACTGCCTCTTTGGATTTGGCTCATCTTCATCTCTGTCATCCGTTATCTCTGTATCACCTTGTTCTTCACTGTCACTAGACCCTACTTGCACATTTTCACTCGACTTGTTCAAAATTCCCGCTTGATTTTGCAAACCACATTCAAGCTTCGTCGAAGAATTTGTACATCCAGTCGGTTCGCTATTATCTCGAGCGCGTTTGTTGGCTGGAGGACGTTCATGGTTGTGCTGGCCTTTGTAAATAATTTCAGTAATTTGTCCATCAGGTGAGCGTTCGATCTTCTTCTTTACAGGGCAATTCAAATGAGTGCATTTGTAATAGCTTCGTGGATATTCACTGCCCTTAACCAACTTCTGTCCGTATTTACGCCAGTTATAGCCATCATCTGCAGGTTTATCAGAGGCATGTGGAGGAGGAGGTTGATATTTTCTATCAGGATGAGAGACTTCTGTCGATTCTAGAACGTGACTTTTCGTATCGGACGTGGAGGGTAATATTAACTGCAGAGATGCTTCATCAAGAGTAAACGATGGATCGCGTATCAACGGTTCGGTAGAAGCTGGTATTGAGGAATGTTGATATTCAGCTTGTTGCATATGCATATGAGAGTTCGCCAATGCCGCTTGAGCAGTAACCTGAGCCAATGCCTGCTGGTGCGACATCCCGAACGGACTCTACAAAGAATTTAATCAACAAATCAATTGGAAGTTTGATGAAAACATAAACATAACTTTGAAAGAACAAATATTAAACAAACATAAACTTCAAGTTTCCATAGATAACGTTTGTTTTATTCAAACTCTCAAATGCCCCAAAGTTTGTTGATTTCATGAATTCAAATGCTATCCAAACATGTTCAAAGTCACCAAGTTTTGCTGCAAATTTAGGGAATTTCATTTATACAACAAGAAAAAAGACTGATCCAAAAGGAACTCAGTTTCAAAAACAGAACACAAGCCACTGTGATTTGGCAGCTGGTTAACTGATACCCAGTTCATAAAACCAGATTTTACCATCAAAATCATGAATAGATAAAAGAAAGTTCTCAACTCAAGACCTAAAAACAACACAAAAAATTTCAACGCAGAAGAAAAGGAAATCTGAGAGCAGCAGAACACAAGAAGCCATCCATGAATCAAATTGGTAGTTCCAGCTTTACCTGGGGAGGATAAAACCCCGGAGAATTAAGCAACCCAGAAGGGCTAAGCCCTGGCGGGACCGAGAACAAAGGAGACCGAGGCACTACTAAATTCATCGGTTTCGATTGCTTCAACCCAAATTCCGATTCCGAATTGGGCGTGGACCCAGTTCCCAGAAACCCCATAGCTATCGGAGAGGCCATGGCTCCGGCGAGAAGCTGGGAGAAAGACGGCGAGTCAACGGCAGCGTCGGCGAAGAAACTGGAGACGAGAGTCATAGGGCCAGGGCTAAGTCCAGTGGGTCCACCAGCAAAAAAGGCCTCCATGGAAGGACGTGGTGGCAGAGTGATAGTCGGGCGGGGTGGAGGTCTGGCAGAGTGGTCGTCCTTGTTCTTAGCCATTGATGAAGCTGCTTGTGTTTCTTTTTTGGTTCAGCTCCTCCTCAGTCTCTGAATTTCCCTGTTTCTTACTAAGTGTTCCGAATTTGGGGATTTGAGGTTTGGGAACATTTGTTGCCATCTTTATCTCAAACCCGCACCCAGCTGACCTCTCTTTATTACTTAATTCTTACCTTCTCAAATTTTATCTCTTAAAATATTTTTTCTCATTGTACACCTAGTTTGACTTTATTGGGATCCATCACTTTTCTTGTTCTTCAACACCCACTCCATTGAAGAAGCTAAACAACTCGACCTCCACGGCCAGGAGATATCGTCTTTTTTGGACTTTCGCTCAAGGCTTTAAAACGCGTCTGTTACGCATGCTAGAGGAAGGTTTCAATACCCTTATATAGGGTCATTTATTCTGTTACGCATGCTAGAGGAAGGTTTCAACACCCTTATATAGGGTCATTTATTCTCCTCCCCAACACAAACCATATATCCACTACTAGCTAGCAGATATTATCTTCTTTGCCATTTTCAAAAAAGGTAGGGAATGTTTCCACACTTTTATAAATAGTAATTTATTCTTCTTTTCAACCAACGAGACATTACATTTTTAGTGCATTTTAGCCTATATTACCAATTTGGATTGGACACATTATCTTAAATTCACCTGTGGGACAACGTGTCGTGTACGTTAGCAAAGACAGATTTAATTATAAAAAATGATAAAAAAGTGGGTCCCAATTTCCAAAAACAACCTCTTGACGGCTACAATTTTCGTGGTTGCCCTAATGAATTTCAAAATAAATAAATTTCTGTTCTTTTCTTTTTATTTTAACAAAAGGATAAAATATTTAAACATTTTATATGGAAATTTCTATTTAATATTCCTCAATTATTAAGAAATAATTATATGGTTAAGAAAAATAACACGTGTACAGTACGTGGGCTCAACTATGAGCCAAGCTGGCAATTCTTTTGTGACATAATGGTAATAGTTGTCTAATAATAAAATTTAAGACATTCAAGAGAATAAAATCTATAACAATCTGTCCACGTGGAAATTTGTGAAATATTCTTAATTAATTAATATATTTATAAAGAAACAAAGATTCATAGAATTATTAGATTTGTTATTAAATATATGCAAAGAATTATAAGAAAATTCCAACTTCATCTATTATTAAGCTTTTTAAGCATCGAGTCTGAAGATTAACTGCAAATCAATCTAATCTTCTCAACAAGTATTGAACTTGAACTTCCTTTGTTAATGGCATGATCCATTCTCCATACAGTTCAGCAACCAAACTGGGTTCTATTTTGTAAACTGGAGCAGCATGTGTTTCCTCTATGTTTACAGGAACCTCTTGCCCGAATGTTTTCGCTTTCGTTTCGACTCTCCTTTTTACCGCCTCCTCGACGATCGGGAATGTCAGCATCTCCATCAGTTTCTCTTTGTCCTTCAAAACTCAGCACCATAATTATATAGAACAAGGCAAATTACACGCAGGAATCAAGCAATGGTGTATTGTAATACAAGAAACATTACTTGCTTCCTTATTGCAGCCTTGTACGCATCGGGCGATTCTCGAAACTTAGCTTCTGCTACGAACTTTCCATAATGGATTCTCTTTGATAGAGCCTGCAATGATTGGAACATACGACACGGGACACTCGGTCGTGTTAATGTAGATGGGGTTGCTCATGATTGTCTAATGATCATAGAAAGTCGGTGTACATGGTTGAGATAGTCATGGATGCAGACCTGCAAGCAAATGGTGTCACAAACAGCAGTAGATCCATAATTGCTATCGTCTCCTTCCTTCACTAATCTTGGTATCAGATCCCTGAAGTACATGCTCCATACTTTGCTGTTTATATTAATGGAATCTGCCGGAGGATGTAGTACCTATTTTCCATCAAAATCGGTGACAAACTATGTTATTCGTTACACTATTCACTCATACACACAAAGAAAGCACGATGGATCGATCGGTAGGATGAGATATTCGGCTTCGATAGATGATAGTTCATAGAAACATCATATATTTGAACCATCCACCTAGTTTTCTAGTTCCAAGAGTGAAGTTCTCCCTGATATGGATAACGAAGCATTCTTTGTAAGGGCATAGAAACCTTTCTCTATCAGACGCGTTTTAAAAATCTTGAGGAGAAATTCAAAAGAAAAAAACTCAAAGAGAACAATAAATGTTAGCGGTGGACTCAGGCTGTGACAACTGTTTTAGCTCCAGGGATGTTGGAAATGATGTTCTAAACACATTTTTAAGGACTTGAGAAGTCATGGAGGTTAATACTCACCTGTGGATACTGAAGCGGAGGCAACAATGGAGCAGGTAGGTCGTTGGGGAAGAAAGGATGTTCATCAGGGCTCTTGTATCTTCCCACCTAATGAGCAAAAAATGTTTCCATAACACATAAAACATTAACCTCAACTCTTTTTGTTCATCCTTTTAGATTGTTGGAAGTACCTGGGCATGCAGCTTTTCAGTTTCCATGACCAAGAACTCCACTAAAGAGCCAGTGAAGCCATCCATGGAGAAAGCATTGGGGTCATAGGTATCTCCATTATAACAGTACTGAGCTCTCCCTAAAAGACTAAAGATAATGCTGTCCTCCTGAGAGATTAATGAGGATCTTATTGCCTCTAAGGTCAAGTTCTCACTGATGTCCACCCTTGATTTTGGTGATGGTCTACGATATCATAAACAAACCCTCTAAATTTGCAGCTTGTTCTACCAGAAACAGACAGAAACATGCTTGAATTCTAGCAACAAACACCATGTTTTTATATGCAATGAACTCAACAGAAATTTGGAAAGGATCTAATCACAGAAACTGATCTACCTCTATAATCTACTATCAAACTCATAAAAGTTCACTATATAAGAATCTAATCGACTTGAAAGAAAGTGTATACAGAGGCCCATCAGTTGAAATGAAATAATAATAATCAAGAACATTGTAAAATCAGAGTTTACCCAGTAAAGCCACAAGGAAAGCAAATGAAAAGAGAGGTAAAACGAAGAAGAGTAAGATACCCAACAGACGCCACAGAGGCTTGAACAGAATTAAGGGCAGCTCCATGAGGCAAACTCAAATGGCGAGGCAACAACCCACGATTCTTCCCACCATAGGAGGCAAAAACGCAGGTGGGTGTGGAGAGCTTGGAGAGACGAGCCGCAGAGGTTGCAGGGAAGGAAGTAAAAAGCAGCTTGGCCTCCATTTTAGAGGGGAACAGAAAATGAAAAGGGAATCTAGAGAGGGAGAGAAGGAAGAAGAAGGGGTTTATTAAGGGAGGAAATGGAAGTGGGAGGTGAGAAGGAAGGGCATGAAAAAGTTATGGAATGTGGTTTGTTGATGGTGGTGCGGAGGGAGGGAGTGGGGTCAGTGGGTGATGCAGGATTCCATGCCCAAGCCAAGAACCGCCATTGGTCAAGTAAGTCCTCCAATTTTGATGACCGTTTACCTTCACCTAACTCGCTTTACTGGTACCTACCACCACCACCAAGCTCTAATTTTCCAGGCCTAGGTTGTTGGATTAGACTTGCACACCACGAATCCAACTGTTTTTTTTTTTTTTTTTTTTTCTTCTAAACCCACGTGGCATCTATTATTCTCAAAATTACTTGGATTTAAAATTCATAAATATTATTTATAAGCTTAGTTTTCATAAATATTATTCTAACCCCAAAACATATTTATACACACCATTTTAAAATTTAAATATACTAAATTTTTTATTTTGATTTAAGAGCGTTTTTCTATAAATAAAAATATAAATAAATGAAGAAATATATGATTCTCATTTTTAAAACATGTTTTTTTAGTCTTTATTAATTGCAATAATGGGAAGAAAAGAAAGAAATTTTATTTTATTTTATTTTATTTTTCTCAATTTAACTGTTAGAATTTATAATTAAGTTGCATCCAAAAATATATTTATTAAATATTATTAACAACAACTAATTGGTGGTTGAAATTTTGTTTTTATTTAATATAATTGGATTTGTAAACATGGATGCTATCAAGAAAATTTAAGCTACTCATTCAGAAAATGTGACATATCCTATCAAATTAAAAAGGAGTGACTTGGCTATCAAAAGGCCACGTCACTAAAGGTTTGGCCAATCCACAAGCCGTATAAATGAGTGACTTGGCATGCTGAAATCTAGCCACTTGTCATGTCATATCTAAGTGCACCATTAGCATGTGCAGCAGAGATGAGATGAAGAGAAATCTGGATCTGGTTGGGCCTGATGGGTACTGTGGGTGGGAGAATGGCCCATTGAAAGATGCAATTAAAGCTTGTTATTGGGCTGTGGCTGCTTGTAGTCCATCTGTAATTGGGTTTGATGTGGGCCTCTGGGCCCTTTACTTCTCCATCTTCTCAAATGGGAGGGTGGGTAATATAAAAATGGGGAAAATCAAATTTGGTAGACAATTTAGACGCATTATCGAGCCTTGAATCACTTTTGAAATAAAATGATTTATAGAACACGAGCATGCAACTGTGGACAAAACACCTTGACAAACATGATCGAAACATCCGACATGCAACCACAATCAATATGGTTTAAACCAACATAACCGTGATACACTATGTTCGAGAAGTTTTATATAAGGACCACTTGTGTATATAAGAATATTCATCTTTTCACTTGTAAGCAATAGTGAGATGTCTATTTTGCTTTCTTTCCATTAATGTTATCAATATCTTGATGACCAAACGACTTTATTTTGTTTTCTACCTTTTGTCCTCTTTAGGTTTTTCCTTTTAATCTTCATCTCAAGATTTTAAAATGCGTCTGTTAGAGAGAGGTTTCTATACCCTTATTAAGAATGTTCTGTTTTCCTCTCCAACTGATGTGGGGTCTCACAATACACCTCCTTTCAGGTCCAACATCTTCATTGACACACTACTTGGTGTCTACTTCATTTAGAGCTTAGCGTCCTCACAGGCACACCACTCAGTGTTGTTCTAATACCATTTGTAACAGTTCTAGTCCACTATTGACAGATATTATCATTCATTCCATGTTCGAGAAAGAAAGAGGAAAAGTTGGGATCTGAATCCAAATGGTGATAACAGTTTGGAGAAGAAAAAAAAGTAAAAGGCTAACTGCAACTTTAAGTATATAAAAGCTTTCACCACAAACATCTGAGATAGCAGAAGGGTTCCACAAAATCAATCTAAACAACAAATGAAGCTATTCATAGTAGATCTGTTCAACAAACTGGCTTGTCTTTATAAATATCCCATCCTCCTCTTCCCCATCTTTGATACCTCAAGCGACTGTCGAAACAATAACAAAACCTCCAGAATAAGCTTCTTCAACAGATTCCCAGCATTTAAAAGGAAAATTTGCTATCTTTTATGCACTCAAATTCCCTTTATAGTATAGCACAAACACACTTGTTTTGTGTTGATGGGTCGCCACCTTTCTTCTCTGCTCAGCCAAACAAAACAGTTCTGAATGGTTTGAAGTTCTATCTTTGTCAAGCAATCAAAGTGCAATATTCATTCTATGGAACAGATTATACCTTTCTCCAAACTTGGAGGTTGAATAACAACGTGCATGGTTGTAACACTACCAGGAATGTCATATAATTGGCTTCTGCAATCATTCACTGTTCTGTTATTCTCCAAGATTTTTCCTGCACTTATTAGCTTCACATCCTTTACTGTTCTTGGACCGTTCTCCTTTTCTGCTCAAACAAATACAACATCAGCGTAGGATGGGAATTCAAGTAAAGGAAAAGATGTTCAAATTTCACACACCTCTTGGCCATTGAGCAAGAATGCTTTCTTTCAAGGTTGCTATGCTTGTGGCAGCAGGGAAAGTTTTGGGACCGATATCAGACCCATCGTTCAATCGAAACTTGATATCCAATTGATCTCCCACTCCACCCATATTGGCTCGCCTCTTCAATCAATCACGGAAAATTTGGATTCTGCAAAAAGAAAGAAACCCAGAAAACGAAATTCAATCAATCAATCAAAATCCGCTATGAACACTGATTTTAAGAGATGGGAATTTGCGGAATCGCAAAATGAAATTGATTCAGAAAACACCCATAGAAATTGAATAACCTTGATTCAGAGATTGGAAGTGAAGATAACCCCGATGCTCTCTTGAAAACAAAGAAGATCAAAGAAGAACTCAGAGATGAGGCTCCTCCAGAGCTATCAAAGTCTTCTAAATCTGGGGTCAATGACTCCATTCTTAAAAGTTGATTTCTTGATGTGCCCATGATTAAAATGGATTACCCAATCGTAATATTTACGCGTAATTTAAACAGCTCAGAGGAAGTAGAAAAGGCCACAGTTCTTTATCATAGAAAAAATATACAGTACCCATTACCTACAACAATGCAAGAAATTGACTTTTCCCCACATAAACTCACATCTCAGAAGGTCAAAACCACAAGCCCAAATCATTCATGTCGGTAATAGAAGCATCATATTGAGTGATAGATGCGAGAAGAAGAGATTTTCAGAGATGAAAAAGGATGCGAACCAGATATTCTCATTTCATACACAGTTCCAAGAACCTTTTTTTCTTTTTCTTTTTTTTTTTTGTTGGAATATACACGCAGCAGGCAGCTTATGAACTGATAAACAAAAAGGTTCCTAAAATGCTGAATAAAACTATATATTTTACGAATGTACTTTGATACTTAGTGCTACAATCGTAATGATACTTAGTACCACAATTGCACTTTCTTCAAATGTTTGTAGGTGACTATACGACATTCACTCTCACTGCCAAGTGAATCAGCTGAGGTATGCCCTAGTCTCTAATCCCGAACAAGATGCAACTACAAGACAACAAGTCCTAGACATGTGTAATTAATTTGGAAGCATTTTTCCACTAGAACTTTGAGCAGCCAATCAATTGCTTATTTAATGCAATTAATTGGCATTAATCAACGCATAGGTATTGAATTCATCATTTCAATTACAATAAGATAATGTTGAAGAAAAGAAGAATGGGAAAAGGGTCCAACCAAATCAATGTCAATGTGGGGTATGCCTCTTCAATTAGTTTTGTGGAGAAATTGATTTGAACTTTCTTTTGTTTACGAAATAGATGATATTAATTACATTAAGACCGATAAAATCTAATTACTTTGAAGTAATGAAGGTAATGTCAACACTTATCATTAATAATTAGAGTATCAAAGGCTCCACTTCTTATTAAACCAGAGTAGCCTATCAATCTCCCGGACTTTGTCCTCAAAGTCATCATACATTATCAATATAAAGCACAAATGTGGTACACTACGAAGAAAAGTAAAAGATGAAGGTGACCTCCATATGGAAAAACACTCACTGAGGGATCTAACGTCGTTTGTGCCTCGATACACAACGGCTATGTGGTGAGATGTAATGGCCCAAGCCCACCGCCAGTCGATATTGTCATCTTTAAACTTTTCCTTTCAGACTTCCACCTGAGATTTTTAAAACGTGTGAAGAGATTTTCACACCTTTATAAAGAATGGTTTGTTCCCCTCTTCAATCTACGTGGAATCTCATAATCCATTTGTAATGACCCAAGTCCACCGTTAGCAGATATTGTCCGCTAGCAGATATTGTCTTTTTAGACTTCCCTTTCGAGCTTCCACCCAAGGTTATTAAAATGTGTCAGCTAGAAAGAGGTTTCCATACCCTTATACAGAATGTTTTGTTCCCCTCTTCAACCGATGTGGGACCTCACATGAGGTGTTTGGTATTGTATGCATTTCCTTTCAGGCTATATCCCTGCATGAAGAACTAATAATACCAGATTTCTCAGCAACTAAGACCATATTCAGACCCGAAATCTGTTCTTCCGGGATTGCTGCAAAATGAATCTTTATTTTGTGGGATCTTTTCAATGACCACAATGAGCAAGAACGAACTGATTCCAGTTGTGTATAGCCCAAAATTGATGAATGATTCTCACCCAATAAGCACACACTTGCGACATGTTGAAGAAAATTCATAAACATTATGTATTCATAAAAATTGGTTGTAAATATCCAGGAAGGTGTTACAAACTCCAGAAGCATCAACTACAAGATCAAACCTTCTTCAAACAATGAAGCTTCCAAGAAAGCAAATAAGAACAAACCAGATGCCATACCCAATAGAGATTTCCAAATCCAAAATAAAACTAGCAGTTGGTTTAGAAACTACATACTCATCCCAGAATTTTCACACACTTCTGTTCTTCATAACCTCCGCTTTATTCTCCATCTTCAATGGCAAGGGAGCAGAGAATGCAACACCTCCATGGCCACTGGTCATCATCCTTCGACGGTTTCTTTCTCCATCACTGACCTCTGGAGATCCATCATCTTCTCCATGTGCTTCTTCATTATCATCATCTTCCTCAGCTACCTCAGAAAACTCTTTAATCTCCACAAGCTCATCACTTGAATCCCTTTCTTCATCAAAAACACCATAATCTTCTTCATGTTGACTGTTGCTGCCTAAAACCTTACAGATATTTCCATTCTCAGAAAATCCAACACTTTTCTTCACTCTAGCTCCAATATGTTGCCCTTTTGCAAGCTTCCCATTTCGAGTTTGATCGTTATCTTAGATAAATGTTCTAGAGGACTCCTCCCCCTTCCCCTCATCAACATCACCAGCATGTTGAAACCTTTTAAGATTCAGTTCTTTCCCATCATTCTCAAAAATTCTCGAACGCTCACAAATCTTTTCAACTCTGCTCCATAATTCCTCAATAGTCTCTTTCTGATTCTCATAGCTTTTAAGCTTAGGATTAGAAACAATAGATTTATTGACATTTTGAACTAACCTCGCATTTCTCATTGCCTTAAGTGGAAGTCTGTTCCTCTTCACAGCAAAGGAATCAATCCGTTCCCAAAACTGAACCAAATCTCTGATAATGCACTTCTTGCTGTCTTTGACCATTGGATCACTACCCTGAGAAGAAGATCACGGAGAAGATCAATTAGAATCAATTATAATGAAAGTAGAAGAAATGAAATACATCCACCAAACTACAATTACCTGAATGGAGTCGAGATGGAGAAGCAAATCCATTATTTCGAGATAAATGGCGTTACGATCAAAGTTGAGTTCAGTGGACAGCGACGATTGGAGAGATTCAAATCTAGACTTGATGATGGCGAGATCTTTGAGCTCTCTAAGTGCTCGCGATCTGCGGACAAGGAACGCTCGAAAATGTGTCTGGATTGTACTCGCGGCAACTTGCCGGAGAGATTGCAAAGAAACATGAGAACCAGAAACTCGATGGAGAGAGGATTCGAGGGCTTCGATGCGGGAGAGAAGAGAGGAGATGGTAGGATGGTGGACGACTTGGGGAAGTTCTTGCTCACGAAAGCGCTTCTGATTTTGGGGTTGAAATTGGTAATGCGATTGAAATTTCTGGGTACGAAAACTTGAGTACTGAGAATAGTGCTGAAATTGGGCGGATTGAAGGATTTGAGAAGCAAGAGCTTGAAGAAGGGGGTCGGAGGGAGACGGCGGCAGCGGAGGAGAGTGGTGGTGGGTTTGGAAGCAGGGAGTGGTAAAATCGCCGCCGCAGCAACAGGCGGGGGGAAGATGGGTTTGATGAGGATAGTGATGAGAGGCCATTAGAGGCTTGAAGTTGGAAGCTTGGTCAGCGAGGAAGAGATTGAGAAAGGGGTTTCGATTTTGGCGAACTTTTTGCGTTTTTCCCCAATGAATATTATTTATAATGTTTTTTTCCCACTAAAAAAGAATTAAAGTATGAAATGGGTAAGATGTCCATTTTACCCTCGTGCCCAAACATGAGAGGATTCTCGAAATTATATTTTTGTCTCTGTCTCACTTAATATAAATATATTTTCAAAACATTAAATATATATATTATATATATACACGTACGTGTACAATTTCTAAACTAAAATTATATTATAGATTTTTTCAATGGTTGAAAACTATTTAAATTTTTTAGAAATTATCAACATTATATATTTATTTTTATTTTCATCCCTATAAAAGCAAAAAGATTTTTTTTAAGATTAAAATTATTAATAAATTTTTTGAAATTTAATAATATTTTTTTAGAGTTTTAATAAAATTTTTGAAAATTCATTCGTATTTAATAGAAAGAATTTTCTATAATTTAGTTTTGTAATATTGATAAATTAATAAAAGGACAATTTTGTAATAACCTATCGTCTTTGGGCAACTTTTCTCGCTAGTAGGCATAATCACAACCGTTGCTTTAAGTGTAAGTTAAATCCATCAAAACAAGCTCCACTAGGGTTAATCCAACGGTCAGGGAGCTTAATACATTTTCAAAATTTTAATCGGAAGGCCCACAAATACTAGCCGTTAGGCAGTGCGCTTTGAGCTCAACGTTCCCATTTTCCGCCTTATTCTCGTATATATCCTTTCGATTCAATTCCCTTTCAGTTCTGAAGACGATCGAATCGACGCTCCTCCCCGCCCTTCCACTGGCGACAGATTTTTCCACCCATTTTTATCTGTATTATAGTCTTAAGCAAATGGGTTCGATCGGCAAGAACGGCGGAACAGTGACCCCTGTGAAAGATTCAACGGGATCTGGATCGAAGATGATTCAAGAAGTGTCGGGGAATTCTGAGAATACGAATCCGAATGTTAATAATTCGATTAGCCCAGTTCCAAAGCTCTGGAAATCTTCTCCTTCGATGAAATCTGCAAAGACAGCTCAGAAATCAGCCGCGAAAAACCCTAGCGCGGTTTTGAACTCACCGAAGTACAAGATCAGGGAGAGGAAGTTTGTGGTAGCGAAGAAGAATTCAAAGAACGAGAAATCTGGTAAATGTAAGACTGATTGTAAGTGTGAAGATAATACTAGGAGTGATGCGAAGAAATGTCTGTGTTTGGCTTACGAGACTCTTAGGGCTTCTCAGGAGGAGTTTTTCAAGAATCAGAGCGGCGGTATTGGGGAGATCGATGAAACGGAACAGTTGGATGGGTCGATTAGGGCTGAGATTGACCTAGAAGAAGAAATGGAGAGGAAATTAATGATTCAAGACCTTCAAAATGAAGACAGGGCTGAAGCAGAGGCATTTGATGTTAATGGAGAGAGTGAATCGCCTGAACAAGTGAGTAATTCGATGATCAAGAGGCGAAGGGAAAGGCTGCTGGAGGCAGCTAGGAATAGTGTTCCAGAAACGGGATCTGGTAAAGTTAAGCATTTGGTTATGGCGTTTGAAAAGCTCAAAACTATACGTGTTTCAAAAGATTCGGATGAGCAATCAGAAAACCAAGAGAAGGCCATGGAAGAGAAGAACAAGGTGATTAAATGGGCATTGCCAGGATTACCTCCTCCAAAGGTTTCCGAAATGCAGGCCTCATCTTCTTCATTTTGCCCATCGGAACTGTTTTTTACATCGGAAAATCTTGCTTTAGATCTTCCAGTTTCAGTTTCAGTTTCATCTTCTTGGGACAGCTCTCGTGGAAGGTTGGTAGCTTAGTTACTTGTACCATCCCCCTTGTTTTCTTATGGGCTAGCTCTTAACTCTTGGTGGTTTCTTTCTTCGAACTTCAGTATTTCAAGCAGGACTTCCCATGGTGGTAGAAGAAGCAGAAGAAATGTAAGTGGAGATAAGTCTCAACTGTTGAGTTAAGTTATTGGTAATTATAATGATGTTTTGGTTTACAGAGCACTGAATCGGATGGCACATTGGGCGGAAGTAGATGGAAGAAAAGGCAGCTGAAAGTCACTAGGCAAAAACCGTTTAAGCTCAGAACAGAGGTAAGAAAAATGGGAATAGACAACGAAAATTTCAGCTTAATGGACAAATAAATTCATAACCTTTGCTTGCTTTTGTTTGTTTGTTTGTTTGTTTTGAATTTGTAGCAAAGAGGTAAGGAGAAGGGAGAAGAATTTCTGAAGAGGGTACAAGAAACAATGATAGAGCAAGAGAGACAGAGAATACCAATTGCTCAAGGTCTTCCCTGGACAACTGATGAGCCAGAGGTAAAGATCTTCCATTTCCTATTTCTTCCGGCTTTTTTGTTTGTGGATAGAATTGTAACAGCCTGAACCCACCGTTAATCAATAGTATGCCAGCAAGGACGTTGGCTCCTAAAAGGTGTGTATTTTGAGATCCCACGTCGGTTGGAGAGTAACAAAACATTCATTATAAGAGTGTGTAAACCTCTCTCAAGTAGACGTTTTAAAACCGTGAGGCTGACGATGATACAAGCAAAAACGGATAATATCTGCTAGTGGTGGACTTGAGTTGTTACAAGAACTAAACTTCAGCTCTTAAATGCTTAAACAAAAAAAACGTTCATTTCCATTTGCAGTGCCTTGTAAAACCTCCTGTGAAGGGAAATACAAGACCTGTGGATCTGGTTCTCCACAGCGATGTAAGGGCAGTAGAGCGGGCCGAGTTTGATAATCAGGTGGTTTTTTCATCTCATATTTTCGAATGAAAACAAACCCTACATAAACACTGTTTAAGAAGTAGGGAAAAACCCAAAAATTTAAATCCATGTTCTGTTTTGGTTAATGAAGGTAGCGGAGAAGTTGAGTCTGATAGAGCAGTACAAGATGGATAGAGAGAAACAGCAGAAGGTAGAAAAGGATGATTATGCATATATGTTGGTTTGTTTGTATGTTTTTCATCTGACACAACAATGGGGTGGTGTGGTGTTTTTTGATGCCCAACAGATGGCTGAGGAGGAAGAACTGAGGAGGTTGAGAAAAGAATTGGTTCCAAAGGCACAACCAATGCCTTACTTTGATAGGCCCTTCATCCCTCGAAGATCCGCAAAGCTTCCAACTATACCAAGGGAACCAAAGTTCCATATCCCACAGCAGAAGAAGAGCAAGTCCTGCTTGCCCTGGAATGATGTGGGTAGCCACTACTATACCTTTCAACCATGAAGAACAGGGCCTCGTAGAAAAAACTCAGTTCCAATTTTTTTGACATAGTTCCCCCTGGTCGCTGAATAAGCATATTGTTCTGTTCTATCAAGTGTTCTACCTTAATTTTGTTGGCTTCTTTCTAATGTATTCTTTGTCAAAGCTAATATATATATATATTTAATGAAAAATGAGGCAACCAATTATAGTTGCTTGCTTTACACAGATTATGCGCTTTCTCCTCCAGCATTATACCATACCTGCTAAAAACAAAAATGTGGGAGCTTGCCCCTTCTCGGGCTTTACAAAAGTTGGGAAGTATATGAAATAATTAGAGTAAATGGATAGATTGTTCTTTCCAAGTTCTCAGAACTTGCAAGTAAATCGACAAAAATGTCGACCGAATCACTAAATCTTTAAATTTAAATATGCTCAAGTTAGCAATCACCTGGCTATAACCGATTGGAATGGTCCAAGCAATTGAACTTCTGAAAATAGCACCAATAAAAAAGGTTTCAAAGGAAGTTGATATCATAAAACTTATGGTATTTAAGAGCAATTAAGAGATTAAGTGGACAAACTCTATGATATAATATTTCAAAAATTACTACAAATGCACCGGCGCTAAGCATAATCCAGGCGACTGTTCCGAATATTGAAAAGCATATCTCATCCTAAAACGCATAAATAAGGACACCAAGGAGATGAAAATGAACTTGAAATCATCCAAAACCCATGAAAACGCGAGTAAGCTTATCTTCATCCGATTATCTTTCAACAGCTCACTCCAAAATTTTCACGGTCACGGTCGTATCTCTCATCACAAACACACAAATCTCTATTCATCAATCAAGGGGCAACAACTATCCGGCCAGCAACTTGGTCGAGATCCCGCCGCCCGCTTGAAGTGATTTTCCTGCCACTGTAAGTTATTCAGAGAGAAAAGCTATCAATCAACAATGACCCCATGATATGAAATCAGGGCAATAATCAAATCATGGTTGTATCAAAACATTGACAAAAAACTTGGAACATCAGATGTAAGTGCTAAACTTCAAGAGAACTTTGAACTCACCCCTTGGGATCAACATCAACAATGTTCATTTCCTGCAACTGTTGTAAAATGTGACGGGCAATAGCACCACTGCTTTCGCAGAAGTGTGGAGGGCGACTTCCGTTCCTCTTGCTTCCTCCATAAATCCGCTTAAAAGCCCCAACGCCAAGCCCTCCCCTCAAATAGATTTTCCTAGCCATGGAGGCTGAATAAGTTTGATGAGACAATGAGACTAATAAACAGTATATAATACATGGAGAACAAGTCGAAGATAAGCGGAGACTGACCAGCTCTCACATAGTACCAATCTGGATCATAAGGTGCAAGCTCCTTGAATCTTGCAGTCTTAACTATATCCGTCCACGGGGGAAGTTCAACCTGCACGGCAATGAATGAACGATAAGTTATTAAAACAGATCCTAGTCGATTTATTAACAAACGAGGAACATATAACGTCGAAAGGAATAGCAAACCAGGAACAGAACGCAAACTATTAATAGGATACGCACAAACAACAGCTAACAAAAACTAGGGGGGTTGCAGAATGATCTAAAACCTCACATTACGACGAACATATAGACAAAATCAATTAGATCCTAGAAGGACTCAAGAAGACCAGAAAGAAAAGTAGAAAATACAAAGAACAAAAACAGACATATATAAAGCGTTCGTGCAAACGCTACCAAATTCTCGTAACAACGCAATCTTCATCAAAAGAATCCGAAAGCAACAACATATATAAATCAGAAGCACATGAAGGTTTAAACGAATACAAAAAAGAAACAACCAAAACCCATAAACCTGCAAACAACCCCGCAGAAGTCGAAAATAGGCCTAATCACACATAAACAATTTCACCCTCCGCGAAAGAGATAAGGCCTCACTCCATAACCAAAATCAACATCCTAGAACACTCTTTTCAATCCACATTACTTCCGTAAGCCCTTAGATCAACAAAAACAAAGTAGAAATAAAAAAAAATAAAAAAACAATACCTTCCCGGATCTCTTGAGATGAGCAGCATATGCTTTCACGAATTCATGAGGTGAGACGTCTTTCACAGTTTTTGCCGTCGCCATGCTTGGAGCAACTACAGTTGATGGTGAGAAAGAGAAAGAGAAAGAGAAAGAGTAACCCTAGGGCTAGGGCTTCAGCACCATCTTATATTAGTTGATACTTCAATTGGGCTTGGCCTGTTACATTTCTGGATTTTTTTTTCCCTTTTCTTTTATGAAATAATAATTTAGATTATTGTGATAACATGTGATTTTTTTTTAATTAAAAAAAAAAAGATAAAAATTGGCTGAAAATATAATTATGTAAATCAATTATTTATATTTATCATATAATAAGTATTATGCCGAAAAAATTAGTTATGGCCCAAAAAGAACCATATATTTAGTAGTTATACTAAACCGAGCCCACCAAAGACATCCCCACCCGGAGAATCCAAACATAAAATTGCTGCTCAATCTCCCACTGTCCCTTCCAAACAATCGAACTTTCACGCTTGTTCGTTCGTTCAGCTAGAGAGAGATTTTCACACTCTCGTAAAGGATGCTTTGTTTCCCTCTCCAACAGATGTGAGATCTTACCTCCTCGCTAATACCATTGGTAACATTTGAAGTCCACTACTAGCTGCTAGCAGATATAAAGAGAGTACGAGTGTTTTGAGATAGAGTTAATGCGGGAGGGGGGACAGGGGGCAAGTTGAGAAGAGGGGCATGGAAGGGGAAGTGTAGGACATGGTGTGTACCGAATACATGCTTCTGCACTGTCCCTTCTTTTGTCACATGCTCAAAGGCTACCCTCCAAAATCCCCTCTTTGCATGTGCCTCCCCATGTGCCCTCCCCTTTCTCCCCTTCTTTGCTAATGCTGCCTGCCACTGCCAAAGCCATGCCCCATATCACTTGCCCTCCCCTTTCTCCCCTTCTTTGCTAATGCTGCCTGCCACTGCCAAAGCCATGCCCCATATCACTTTCACATGCAACCTCCTCCTCTTCCCAACCCACTACTACATTCCCCCTTTTCTCTTTTCATTATTACACCCATGCCCTCTCTTTCCCCACAACACTCAACACTCTCTTTTCAAAATTGAAATTCAATTCAATGGCATTATGGTAATAAACCTCCACTCGGGGGCCAAACAATTTTCCTACTGTTACTTAAACCACCCTTTCTCCCTCCGACTAATTGGCGACAAACAATGACTCCCAAAACCTACACGCTCACAAACCTCCGAACTAGAACCAAACGATCTCTACCTGACTCCGCCGTCCGAGCTCCTAATCCCCACGAATATGGCGAAACGACGTCGTCTTCGCCCTGCTCCTCCTCCTCCGACGACGACGACGACGACGACGTGTCGGCCAAGTTGGAGGCTCTTCAGAGCCTCATTCCGGCCCAATCCGCCGAGGCCCGCCAAACAGAGCAGCTCTTCAAGGAAACTGCTGATTACATTGTTCTATTGAAAACCCAGGTCGTCATTTTGCAGAAGCTGGTTGATTTTTTTGGATCCGCCGTCCTTTCATAGCCTTTTTTTTTTCCCCTAATTATGAAGGAAAATAAATCTAGAAGAAGAAAAGTGAAGGAAAAAAAGAGGCCATGTTCTTCATGTTTTTCTTCCAAGGTTGAAATATTAGAATACTAGAGCAGCCATTTTCATTAATAAACAGCAGAAGTTTTGTAAAGGAATTAATATATATGTTCTTCGAATATGATGCCAACTTTTAGTCTTACAATCTGCAATCATAAAACATTCAACACCATATTGATATCAATGGTGGTGTGGTGGTGGATCATGGCAAATAACAAGAAAGAGATTGGACAAGTGAAGAGTGACAAACCCATTTTGTTATGATTTCAACCAGTTGATGAAATTGTTCAAGTTCTTGTAAGATCCGCCGCCTTTTTCTGCACTTTTCAACACTGTTTTCTTCAGTTTTTGGATTCTCTGTTTCAGTTCGTCGTCTCCGAGGAGCTTTTCCACCTTTTCTTTAATCTCTGTTCTTTTGATCACTCCATGTTCGTCTTTGTTCAATTTCAACCCCACCTTCCAGATATCACAAATATAGCTCTCGTTTAGAAATTGATCAGCGAAGTACGGCCAACACAGGAACGGGACGCCATTGCTGAGGCTCTCGAGGGTTGAATTCCAGCCGCAGTGGCTGAGAAAGCAAGCGATTGAGGGATGATTAAGAACCCTTTGTTGTGGAGCCCAACCGACAATCTTTCCGCGAGATTTTACCCTCTCTTGGAATCCTAATGGGAAGACATTGTTAGGGTTTTGTTCGGTAATGTCTGGCCTCACCACCCATAGAAATGGCTTGCCTGTAACCTCAAGCCCAGAGGCTAATTCCTGGAATTGGGTGTTGTTTAGAACTGTGAAGCTTCCGAATGCGACGTAAATGACTGAGCGGGGAGACTGTTGGTCGAGCCATTTCAGGCAAGTTGAATCTTCCGGCCAGAAGTGTCCGACGGAATTCTCGAGTCGATTGCTCGCCAGAAGTGGGCCGATTGGGAGAATGCGAGGCGCTATGCTGAAAATTTCTGCCTCGAGCTCATAGACTGTATTGCAGATAACCCAATCCGCCGCTTCTATTGCTTTGTTATTTCTTGAGCACACTTGAAATAGGATTTTCTCTGTCTCTTTGTCGCCAACACATGCCCAAACCAAGCTTTCTGTTCTGGTTGTGGGTACTGATGATGCTAACATAATCTCCTCGCTTTTCAGCAACGTTCCTGTCGGAAGATGAAACATGTTCATATTTGTGTCTGTTCAGTTCCATTTGTTTTGGTTATCTTGTCGGGTTGGTAGTGAGTCTACGATAGTTCAAGGGAATAAATCTTTGATTTATAAGTAAGGAACACTGTCTTCATTGGTATAAAGTCTTATAGGGAAATCAAAAGTAAAGCTATAAGAGCTTATGCTCCTTCTCCGACATTATCATACCATTGTAAGAGTTGTGATTCATAATATAGTGTAAGAGGCATGCCCTTAACTATATCAATAGAATTCTTTAACTGTCTAACAAAGAAGTTGTGTGCCTCAAGGTTAAGTCAAAAGTAACTCAAATGTTGAACAAATTGTGTATTTTGTTCAAGAACTCTAGAAAAAAAAGTCGAACCTTAGTTAAGAAGAGACTGTTCGAAGGTTCTATAGGTCGGCTCAATAGTGTACTCTATTCGAGGGGAGGATTGTTGGGGGAGTCCCACATTGACTAATTAAGAGAATGAACATGGCTTTATTGCAAGGAAAGCTATCTCGAGATTTTTTTGGAGAAACTAAGAGAGAAGCCATAATAAGAGCTTATGCTCAATCTAAAGAACGGAGAGTAGTTATTTTTTACAATCTTACCATCAGAACCAATTAGTTTTTCTTCGATCAGCTTTGGGATTCGGAATTGCATAGCTAACAACGCAGCAGCCGCAGGCCAGAAGGCGACTCGCCGGATTCTCATCTTCTCAGCAACTTCCAGAGCCCACCCAAGATTCTCATCAGCAATAACACACGTAATTCCGCGACCCCCTAATCCATCGATCGTGTTCATCAGCTCTTCCAGCTTCATGGGCATGACTTGCAACATTGTGTTAGTTAATTTACCAAGATCATTTCGGTCCTCCCCAGGCTTCATGCCATCGGGGAGTGAAACCAGGTGGATATTGCCATCGCCTACACGTTCAGTTCCTGCTAGAGCGCCCATTACACGACGATGATTATACTCCGTGTTCAAGAACGTGATTTCGAACCCCTGTTTGGCCAAGCACAAAGAGAGCTCCAACATGGGGATTACATGGCCTTGCGCTGGATAAGGAATGGCTAAGATGTGGCGGCCGCTCCCCATTTTGCTTCTCTCTAACTTCTGAGCTTCACTGTACCACTCTATATATACACACACACCCGAAATGGAATGGCTGTTCATAGAGGCGCCAATGGATCAGGCGACGGGCGGCATAAAAGATTCTGATTTGGTTGGTTCCCCTAATTTTGTTATCTTCGCCATCTCCTTCGTCTGGTAACGGCCAGATGTATTCAATTTGGACAATTTTCTTATTCTTTTGTCTTACTTGATTGGACCATTTTTTTCTGGTAACACTCGTTCAGTCCTTAATCAGCCGATGTAGATTCCTCTTCCAATAATCTTCTCTTTGAACAAAGTACACTATAGAACTTCCCCGAAGTCTATAAAGGCCTCAAAGAGTCGAGGCTCGACTCCTTCTCTAGAGCTCTCAAACTCTCGAATAAAGTACATCTTTTGTTCAACATTAAGTTACTTTTAACTATATCTTTGAGGTTCACAACTCCTTTGTTCGATATTGGAAGATTCTATGGACATAACTAAGTTGAAATTTGGGATAATTCTGGCTTTGAGATACTCATTGCAATTTGATGCTTTAACCTGTTTGTGAAAATGATGAACAGGCTCGGCTGTTCTCTTAGTAGTCACAACTAGTCAACTAGATGCTATCTTTTAGTCTCTGGTGGTGCTCGTGCTTTTGAAACGTTTTAAGTACTTTGCTTGTAAGTATACACTGGCTTGCTATTCTTGAAAATTGAAAATTGAGATAGTGTTACTAGTAAATATTGTCCTCTTTAAGTTTTTCCTTTCGGGCTTCCCCTCAAGGTTTTTAAAACACATTCCACGCCCTTATAAACGCATTCCATGCTAATGGTTCAAGGATACTCGGGCAACACAAGATATAACGGGGGCTTAGATGTTGCTCGTAAATTGGTAAAGTCCGATGGGATCCGGGGATTGTATAAAGGTTTTGGGTTATCTGTTATAACCTACTCTCCATCTAGTGCTGTATGGTGGGCAAGTTATGGTGCAAGTCAACGCATCACCTGGAGGTGAGACGTGGTAATTTTCCTTCATTTGTGTTCAAGCGCTGAGTTTTGCATGATATGCATTTCAACTAGTAGTATGATGGCCCCAAGGGGGTGGATTCTGAGATCTTACATTTGTTAGAGAGGGGAACAAAGCATTCCTTCTAAAAAAACCTTGAGGGAAAGTCCATAAGGGAAAACCCAAAGACAACAATAATTGTTACAAATAGATAATAATGCTATATTAGTTTTGTCGCTCGTTCATTTACATGGTCCTTTATTATATATTCCGTGGCTCTAGTTTTCTTCTTGGTTACTGTGTTTTGAACTATTGTGGCTAAAAGATGCAATATGGAAATGGAACACATACGCTAGTAGGAATTGTCCAACATATATCTGATCTGACGTTGAAATTTATAATCCTGAAGGTTCTTAGGCCAAAACTCAGCTTCGGAGAGCTTTGCTCCTAGCCATACCCAACTTATTTCAGTGCAAGCTGGGGGTGGAATAATTGCAGGAGCAACAGCTTCCTTCATTACAACACCATTGGACACCATAAAGACTCGCTTACAGGTACTTACTCCCAAACAAAATGTGTGTTGGATTGCTGGTACTGCACTGGAGTTTTATAGTTTGATGGGGTATGGAGGTGTTCATAGGTGATGGGCGATAAAGGGAAGACAGCAAGACAAATTGTTGAAAGCTTAATCGCTGAGGATGGATGGAAAGGTTTCTACAGGGGGCTGGGTCCTCGGTTCTTCAGCATGTCAGCCTGGGGAACCTCCATGATATTGGCTTACGAGTACTTGAGTATGGACTTCATATCCTTATCTGTTGTATTTGTGAATACTTTTCCCCTTCATCATCTTTCTGATTGGGTGGTGTTGTGCAAAATTTAGAGCGCCTGTGTGCAAATGATGAACAGAGTTGAGCCCGTCAAAGATGGCCAACATTTTTTACCCCTCACAACAAGGCCAGGCTGAATTGCAGAGGGGAATGAATAGCTCCTAATTTTTTTAGACATATGTTTTGTCATCACAGTAAACTCTGCTCAAATACACAATGTAAGCTTAGTATTCTCGCATTTGTATTTTGACTAACAAATGTTATTCTTCGTTAATCTTTTTTTTTTTTTTTTTT